TGGTTAGTGAATTAGCCGGATTCCAGTAAAATTATAAATTTCAAATTCAGCTTTAAAGTACGTTTAAGACTCGTTTGTGTTCGCTTGTGAACGCGCGAAACCTAGGGCACTCCATCAGCTCGCTTCACGAGTTGGCATTTAGCTACCGTTATTTGGATGTTTCAGTACGTGTGTTGAAGCAGTATGTGATGGCTGAATTTGGATCTTTAATCCACATATATCAGTTTCCTATCTTGCCTGGTTCCCGAAATCATTTCTCGCCAAAAGTTTGTTTTCTTTTTGTCACCCATGTGCGAGACCCAAGCGTGCATGAATGGTAATTTTAACACGCACGGGATGAGCCATACTGAAAAAGTTTCAGCTTCTCAGACTCACTGGCTGCTTAGTTAAAAACTTCAGGCTGGAACGCACTAGGCTGCCAGTGCGATCATGCGTTTTTGTATTAAAGTTGAAGCAATCAGGGCGTTAACTATAAGAAAGGTTCTTGCTTTACACTTACCTCGCAAATTATCGTTAATTTTGCATAAAAGAAAATGAACAATTTCCGTCGAGAATGTTCTTTCTTTAGAAATGAACTAATTGTTCAGTAATTTTCTCCGCCAAAACCTTCGCATGCACGTACGTGAAGGCCACGCATATTTGGGGGCTAAATTTGAAGTCCTTTAGTTCTACGTGTACGGGAAATACCCCCTAAAATTTCAGCCTCCCAGCTTTTGTGGTCCCCGAGTTAGCAATTTCCTCGCAAAAAATTTCACGTGCTCGTACGCGAGGCCCAGTCGTGCGCAGGGTTTGGTACCACGGTTCTGGAGTGGTACTTGGCCGGGGAACCCACAGGTAAAATTTTAGCACCGGAGCTTGTTTGGTTGCCGAGTTGAAACACGCGGGCACACACACACACACACGCACACACACACACACACACATACATAACCATACATGCACACCGTGGATCGTCACAATATGCGTTTTTGCACTTGCATATATGCAAAAACGCATAAAAAGCAAAAAAAAAAACTCACTAAATTTATAAGGAGAGGGCATGAAAACAAGGAAGCACTATTCCCTTAGAAGGATCACAGTGATTGGTGGGAGCTAAAAAATGGTGAGTCCCTCTGGCCGGAAACTGAGACATGTGAGTGTGCTGTGTACAAATGGGGAATTCAATAGAGAACGAAAAAAAAACCTTTAAACTGTTGCTACTGACAGCTCCTTCATGCACTTTTTTCTTTAATTCTGTGA